ATTAACAAATTAATTAAATAAAATTAATAGCATTTGAATTGTGAATTTAAAAAATTGACTATTAAAATGAAAAATTTTCTTTTCTTATCGAAAAAAAGTCCAAATTGCTTTTCACTTTTTTTCTTAATTAAAGAAGGAAACGAAAGTGAAAAAATTGGAAAATTTCCAAAAATCGAAATTACTGGCAGGCGGTTTTTTAGCATCGTGTGTAAATTCGTTCAGTCCTTGTTCTCAGTCATGCCTTCAAGGTCGGTCAAATTCAGTGAGACAAAAGGTACAAAAAGCGATCAGCAGATGGAAGCATGTTCCGGGGGGAGGCAAAGCACGTGGTGCTCTGAAATCGAAAACCCTACGCTCAACGATACTTCTGGTGCCATCTCTCGAAAAACGGAACAACTCTCAAGCAAAATTTATCAATTTTTTGAATTTTTAAACAAATTTTCTTGCATTTTTGATTTTATTATAATTTTTAATTATATAATTTTAACACTTAAACTGTCAAGAACTTTTGTGCATTTCTAGCAACTTTTACTATTTTCGGAGTAAATTTAGCTACGTTCAAAGTAAATTTTACTAAATTTTTCCAAAAATGTATTTCAAATGTAGTCAAATTCACTACAAAAATTGTAAAAATTGCTAAAAATGCGCAAAAGTTCCAGAAACTTTTGGTTTTACTTTGTAAATAGTAAAAGTTACTCTATATTTTTCTCCGTGTAATAATAATACATTAGGAGTAAAAATGGAAACAAAGTTTAAAAATTAATTATTATAATAGATAATAATTTAACTATTTCATAATTTAATAATAGTAATAGTAATAAATAGCAGAACTTTAAATAGAAAAATAGATATAGAAATAGAAAAAATAAAATAAAAAAATATTTTCAAATAGAAAAAGAAAAAATTGCTATAAAAATAAAAATATATTAATAATTAATTAATATAATATAATAATTAATAATTAATATAATAATAATTAAAGTAAGTCATCATTTTCATATTTTTTTGTATTTTCTATATTTTAAATTTCAATTTGAAATTAACTTGAAATTTTAAAACTTTTTTAAAAAGTAGTTAAAAATCAAAATTAGTAGATTAAAAATGAAGTAATTAAATTGCTAAAACATAATTAAATTAAAAATATTAAAAAAAATAAAATTAAATAAATATCAATAGGTAAATATGAAAAAACTGAAGTTTGGATTTGTTAAATAAACTATAATTAGCAATTGAATTGATTGTGAAACGTGAAAACTTTTATGAAAACAAATCCATCGTTATACTTTCTAAAATCCCAATTCCAATTTTAAAAATTCGAATACCTGTAAAAACAAAAAGAGAACAATTTTTAATAAATGAAAATAAAAAATTAAATTTTCCTTTTCGAGAGAATGCAACCCAAGTAATCTTTCAAACATTGAAATATTCACAATTAGCAACAACCAGATATTGAAAAAAGACACAAAATAAGAAAAAAACTCACCGTTGAAAAAAATGACAAAAATTTGCCATTTGTAGGACATAATTTCTAAAGGAGAAGTCTATAAACAAGCAGGAAGTAAATTTAGCAAAATTAGAAATTAATTAGCAATTAATTTCTAATTTGAAATTTCAATTACATAAATTCAGTGAATAAATGAATTAATTCAGTGAATGAATGAATGAGTGAATGAATAAATGAATAAATGAATGATTGAATGAGAATTCTATCAAGTGAAATAGTGATAAAAAAATGAACTAACAATAAAACTAATGACATCAAACTAATGAAATATTTCCATGCCATCTAAACAGTAAATATACAGTTAATAATAGAGAAAAAATGGCGATGAAATGCCACGAAAGGTCACTCACGTAATAAGTGAGGGTTAATTTCATTTACTCTATGTAAATTTAATGTTAGTTTCGAATGAATGCCAATCTTTCATTTTTCTTATTCTTTGTTTTGATTTTCAAAAACTTTCGACGGTTTAGATTTTTAATAAATTGATAAATTTTTGAAAAAAAAATTTATCAACATTACAAAATCTTTTCTCTTATTAAACTCTCCGAGTAATATTGCAGTTTGAATATCAACAATGTAGGAAATTAGAAATTTTTTTTCTAAAAAGTTATTTTGATAATTATTGCATAATATTTATTTTCATATTTATAATTGCAACTGATTAATAAAAATTCCAAACTCTAAAAGTATTTAATTACTCATTAGTGTTTTTTTTACTTAATTTAAAAATTAAAAATTAAAAACACCGAAAAAGGAAAATTTCTTTCTAACAAGTTCTAAGAAAAATGATATTTTTCTTTCCTATTTCTATTTTTAAGATTATTTTTACTTTCTGGACTTCATAATTCTGTTAATTATTATTAACTTATTATTCTTAATTATTATTATTATTATTATTATTATTATTAATTTATATGAATAATTATTAAATATTAGAAGAAATCCTATAGTAAATATATTCAGAGTTGTCTCTAAAATTTTATTTCGTTTTTTCCTGTTTCTTCAAAATCTCGATTATTTAAAAAAATTTTTAATACAATTTTTTAATACTAAAACTCAAAAATGGTTTTACTTCGTAAAATTGCAATTTACAAAATAATTTTTTAATTGTAATTATAGGAAATTTCAATTATTTGCAAATTTTTCTATTCAATTTCTGTTCAATTTTACAAAATTTTAATTAATTAAAATTTTTTTAATAAATTATAAAAAATTTAACTAATCTTGAAAAAATTACAAGTTAAATGGTTTAGTAAATAAATTTTCTCGAGGAATTTTAATTAAAATTATTCAAAAATTGAATTGTTTTTTAAAAATAAATATTTAAATATTATTTAATATTTAAATTATTACTTATTTTTCAACAACTATTCGAATTTTAAAAAATTTCGTTTCGAAACATTCAGAAAATTTAATTAATTCAAAAAATTACAACTAATTTTTTCAAAATTCAATTAATTTTTACAATTTTTTACTCAAATTATTTACTAAATCAATTATTTTTTAATAATTTTGAGATAATTTTTCGAGGACTAAATTTTCAATTTAATGTTTTCCAAAATTCACGTAAACTTCTAAAAGAATTTGAATTAACATTTTCCAAAAATCTAATTTTGTCACACATTCTAAATAATATTATTCAAAATTTAAATTATTGTTTTCAAATATCTAAATATTATTTATTTTAATGCAATTATTTTAAAAATTTTTGCAAAAACTCGATTATTTTCACAAATTTTAATAAAACTCGGTAAAAATATTTTTTTTGTATTCCTAGGAAGAATATTACATTTTACGAAAATAATTGTATTCTATGATCAATTTTATTATTATTTTTCAAATTTATAAAACATTTTATCAATTTTTTTTTAAATAATTGAATTATTGAGAAAAATTTTATTATTTATGAAAATAATTGATTTCTTGGGAAGAATTTTATTCAAATTTTTTTTAAATAATAGAATTTTTAAAAGAATTTTATTTATATTTTTCGAAATAATTGAATTTCTCAGAACTATTTTTTTTCAATTCTCTGAATATATTTGAATTTTTTCGAGGAACTTCATTAAAAAATGAAAAATAATTGAATTGGTGCGAAGAAATTTAGATAAAATTGGTAAGTAATTGAATTCCTGTGAAACTTTTATTATTAAAATTTTATTAAAATAGTAGATATTAAAAAAAAAAGAAATGAGGAAAATTTTTGAAAATGTTTGAAATTTTGCCAAGAATTTAAATTTTTTTTTAAATAATTGAATTTCGGAGAATAATTATATTATTTATAAAGATAATTGAAATTTTAACGAGAATTTTTAAAAATTCTTGAACATAATTGAATTTATGCGAAGAAGTTTATCACTTTTGAAAATAATTGAATATCTATATTCAGTTGTTCTCAAAATTTCTATTTAAATTCATTCAAAATTGACATTTTCTAAAATTTCAAAATGAAACCTTTGAAGTTCATGAAGATTGTAAACGCAACTCTTTTGAAATTCAATTAATTTTGAAATTTTTAAGTAAAAATTGTTCATTAAATAATTTATAAGTCATAATTTTATTATAGTTCTTCAAGAATTAAGTTATTTAAAAAGAAATTATTGTTAGAAATAGAAAAAATTGAAGGTTTTGTATATTAGAATTTCAAAATTTTCTTATAAATTCTAAAAATTTAATTTTTTTTAGTATTTTTAATCAAAATTCTTGACTTTTCCCTGATTTCCCTGACCTCTGACAACCCTGTGTAATTTAATCGAGAATTTTGAAAAACTCTAAATTTGAATTAGTAAAAAATGTTTACTTTTTGAATTAGTGACTGACTTTTTGCTTTTAAATTAGTAAATGTTACTAAATAAATAGTGATTTCTACTAATTTATTAGTAAAATTGACTAATTCTAAAGCAAGAATTCAGTTACTAGTTCAAATTAGTAAACATTTTTACTAATTCAAATTCAGAGAGAAGGTTTAACACTGAAAAACCTTAAGAGTCTTTTTCTCATTACAATCGATAGTCAAAATGACTCTTTCGACTATCAGAGTTGAGCCTTTTTCGAAATTCACATCTTCAAGGAATTGAATTTAAATTTAGAAAATAAGTTTTTTGAAAAGAATTCTTCCAAATTTTTATTTATTATTGAAAATTTAAAGTTTTTTTTACAATTCAAGAAAATTTCGAATCTTTCAAGGTGAAAAAACTAAAAACCAGAAACTTCGTAGCATTTTTAAAAAATTTGATATTTTCCTGTACTTTTGGAAAAATTTTCTGACTTTTTCCCGATTTCCTAGACCTGTATCAACCCTAATACTAAAATTCTATCAAAATTTCCAGTAAATTCGAAGGAAAAGGTAATTCAAACAGCAATACTTTTTCGGAGAGAATAAAGAGATCGTCTCTGATTTTGAAATAATTCTTTTTCTTTTTTTTTGGAAATACAGACCCCCAGCGTAAAAAAGGCTGCACGGGGTTGTTTTGTAAAGCAAAATCCCGTCGCTTACCTTTCTTAATGAGCAAGCTAGTGACCCTCCGTAGCGCCTCGCGTGTACTGGAGGTTGAGCTGTGCTTACTTTGGCCGAAGTATTTGTTCGGTGTGATATTGGTCGGTAGTGTCAATGGTTTCCTCTGATCCCCAGCACCGGGAAGTCTCGCATCGAACGTACTGTTAAGGCGCTCCAAATGTTCAATGGACGCTGGACGTGGTTGATTCGCTTTCCTCGTTGGATACCAGCCTCTATTTGGACCGCCTGCCAATCGCAGCAATTCAGTTCCAATTATCGCCTGCTCCAATCCCGGATTATTCCTCCGATACCTAAAAATAATAATCAAAAGTTAGCAAAATTTTTGAAAAAACAAAAAAAATAAAGAAAAAAGAAAAGAAATTACCCTGTTGTTGCTGTGGTGGGAGCGTACCATCCGGGTTGTCGACGTGGTTGCGTTGGATTTCCGCCGTGTTGCGGTGTCCGAGGAATGTCGCTGCCTCTCGCGAAAACCGGAGTCTCCGGAAGTGAGCAGGACGTTTGCATTCCTGAATTCGTTGCGACATTTCCAATCACCCCGCCGCCGCTTCCGCTCGATGAACATGCCTCCGTCGAGGGCGAATGTCGTTTCGTAAAAGGCCTTCTTCTCGATGGTCCTGGCAAATCAGTCGGCAGTGTCCTCCGTTCCACAGGTACCTGAAGAATTAAAAGAATAATTATTCAATTATTCAAAAAAAAAGCCTCATTATCTTTACATTATGTTTTTTATCTTTACTTTAAATTTTTTCATCTTTACACAAAATTTTAAGTAAGTAAATAAATAAAGCAATTAATAAAAATTAAATTTTAAATAAATAAATAAAACGAATTAACAACTTTATTAAAAAAATTATTTGACACTAAAATTTAAAGTAAATAAAAGGAGTAAACGAAATTTATACGAATAAATATTTTACAATTAAATTTTAAATAAATAAATCAGTACAGGATTGCCACAAAAATTTAATTTTGTTTTTCCCTGATTTTCAGATAAAATTTTGACTTTTTCCCTGGCCCTAAAGAATATTCTAATTCACTCTAAAAATTGATACTAAAAAAATGTTTTATTGCATTTATTTACGAATTTCTTTTCGAGTCGAAGACTCGGAGTGATCGATATCTTCATGTTTTATAATAATTGCCCAAGTAATAAAATCATTATTTTATTTAATAACAAAATTGTTACAGTAACTTCTTAAAAATTATTTTTCAACATTTCAATTCAATTATTGTTTATTTATTTTCTAGAACTTTTAACTAAAGATTTATAAATCAATTTTAAGAAATTTTGATTATTCGAAAATTCTTCAATTAAATAGAAAAAAAATATTAGGAAATAAAAACTTGAAATAATTTTAAAAAAAAATTCAATTAAATCTTTTCAAAAAAAATAATTCTACAGAATTGTCAGTAAAAAGTATGAAAAATTCAAATTTTCAATGATTTTAATTTGAAACCTTTTCAAAATTCAATTATTTCTAAAAATTCATTGTATAATACTTAATATTTAATTATTATCTAAAATTTTAACTAAAATTCAATTTTTAAATAAATTGTTAATAGCAAATTCAACGAGAATTCAATTATTAAAAATTTTTAATACAAAAGTAAACAATTTATTGAAATAATAGAATGATTCCTAAAATTGTATTCTCATAAAGAAATTTAATAAAATTTTAAAAAATAATATTTTTCGAGGAATTCGATTAAAATTTTATTTAAAAAATAATTGAAATTCTGCGATGAGAGTTTTATTGTTTATGAAAATAATTGAATTATTGAGAAGAAATTTATTTCTTACAACAATAATTAAATATTTGCTCAGATTTTTATTAAAAATATTTTCAAATACTTGAATTGAATAATTTTTAATAATTTTTGAAAAAGTTCTTTGAGAATTTTCAAATCCATTTCCTCACAATTCAATATTTTACGAAACTTCGATCTTCCATTAAATATTTATCAGAAAATACCTGAAAACTTCAAATAATTTTAAAAAAACTTCAATTAAACTTTTTCAAAAAAAATTAATTCTACAGAATTGTTAGTCAGATTTTTAAAAATTTTAGTTTGTAACCTTCTCAAAATTTAATCATTTCTAAAAATTTACGCTATATTGCTTTAAATATTCAATTATTATCTAAATTTTTGACTGAAATTCATTTTTAAATCAGTTTTTATTAACAAATTCTGCGAGAATTAAATTACTTAAATACAAAGATAAAGAATTTTTTGTATAATTGTATTTTTCTTAAAATTGAATTCTCATAAAGAATTTTATCAATAAAATTTATAAATAATTGAATTCTTTCACAAATTTTAATATAATTTTTTAGAATAATTACATTTTTCGAGGAATTCGATTAAAATTGTATTTAAAATAATTGAAATTCTGCGATGAGTTTTATTATTTATAAAAATAATGGAATTCCTAAAAAGAATTTTATCATTTATGAAAATAATTGAATTCCTAAAAAGAATTTTATCATTTATGAAAATAATTGAATTTCTGAAAAGAATCTTATTATTTATGAAAATAATTGAATTATTACGAAGAACTTTATAAAAAATTTCTAAGTAATTGAACTCTTGTGAAATTTTTATAATTATTTATGAAAATAATTAAATATAGTTTGCGTAGAATTTTATTCAAATTTTTTTTAAATAATTGAATTACTTTAGAAAATTTTATTAAAATAATAGATATTGAAAATAATAGAATTGAGTAAAAAATTTTTGAAATTATTTGAAATTTTGCCAAGAATTTTATTAAAATTTTTGAAAGTAATTGTATTTCTGAGAAGAATTTTATTATTTATAAAGATAATTCAAAATTTAACGAGAATTTTATAAAAATTTTTGAACAGAATTGAATTTTTACGAAGAATTTTATTACTTTTGAAAATAATTGAATTTCTGAAATAATTAACTTTTCCAAAATTCAATTTTTTAGTGTTTTTAACTAAAATTCTTCTAAAAAATACATTATTTTTAATAATTAATTACACATATATTAAAAAATTCAATTAATTCCAGAAGAATTTAATTTATTAGAATTTTTGAAAAATCTAAGTTCTTTAAAATTTTTAATTAAATTCATTCGGAATTGAAATTTTCTAGAATTTCAAATTAAAACCTTTTCAAGTTCATCTATTTATAAAAATTGTAAAATTGTTTAATTTTCTTTTAAAATAGAATTAATTTTGAAATATTTAAATAAAATTATTCATTAAATAATTCAATAAGTAATAATTTCATGAATAAAAATAATTACTATGCAATCAAATTTTAAATAAATAAATCGAATACAAAATTGTTAACGAACAAATAGTTTACAATTAAAATTTAATAAATAAAACGAATAAAAAATTTTTAACTAACAAATAGTTTACAATTTAAATTTAATAAATAAACAAAACGAATACAACATTTTTAACGAAAATATATTTTACAATTAAATTTTTAATAAATAAAACGAATATTAAATAACTGAATTAAAAAAATTAGTTTTAATCAAATTTTCCAAAAAAATTAAGCGAATAATAAAAAGCAATTTTAAAAATTATTCTTCGTTCAAATTTAAAGTAAATAAATAAAACGAATAAGTAATACAAAAATTGCTAAGAAAAATAAATTATTTAAAATCAAATTTTGGATGGGGAAAAAATGAACTAAACGAAGAAAAATGTAAATAAACAAAAAATGTTTCTTTCAACTAAGCATTTACTAAAACTTCTCTTTAAGAACCCCGAAAAAAAATTTAACTCATTGACCTAAATGATTGAAGGCAAACCCTAAAATTCTTCTTCAAGAAGAAGACGACTCCAAAGTCTAACTTTGCTTTCAACGAAATTGCTTTGAGCCCTTAAAGCAAAATACGGTCGTATTTTTTTTTTTTTTTTGCAGAACGATAAAAGCAGGTGGGATGCGCTTTTGGCCCGGCACGAGGTGGATAATTATTGCGTCATAAATCATTATTATCGCATTGGGAACCGACTGTGGCTAACGCTACAAATTTTCAACTTAAAGTTTCTCACTTTATCTTCATGATATAACTTTTATTGCACTCACTTATTTGCTATTCTCAAAGAAATAAAAAAAAGAAAGAAGAAAATAAACGATATATCTGACTCGGCATCATTGCACACTGCTTGTGTAATTAAAAAATAAGGACGAGTTTGACCTATTTTACAGTCGGGAAAACAAAAAGCGACGCAAGCGATATTGATAAAAAAAGGAAGAGAAGAAGAAGAAAAAAAGTTGCATCTTCATTAAGTTCTAACAATAATGTGACAGGGAAAATCTTTTTATTGTTACTGAAAGAATTCTCATTGTCCCAATGACCTGAATTAAAAAAAAGTAATTAGAAACTGCTTTTCGTCTTGGAAATTTGCAAAAAAAAATCCGATTATATTGTAATTTGTAGTTGCGCGTATAATAGAAATTTTGTAAAATTCAAAAAGATCAGTAAAAATGGTTTAAAAGTAATTTAAAACTGTTAAACACAGGTTAAAAAAGAAAAATATAATAAGTTTATAAAATGAAATGAATGAAATCAATAAAAAGTGAATAAAAATTATCGAAATTTATCAAATTGAATTACATAACCTAGAAAACTTAATCATGAGTTTTATACGTTTTAATATACAATACGGACTTACGACTTCCGGAACTGAATTAACTTATTTATATTCAAGGAATAGTCGCTAATTACGACTCTTGATCTTTATTTGCGAACAAAATACCTTCTTTTTGTAAAATTAGTAAAAAAAATATCAAATATGGAAAGAAACACGTGTTTGTCGCAGAAACTTTTTATCGATAAACTAGTCAAATCAATGACTAATTGGCGCATGTGCAGATATTAGGAATTTAACGACTTCCGGTTCCATTGGAAAAAAAATACTTATAAAAACGTGGAAAATATGACAAATAATAAAAATAACTTTTCTTTCGTAATCACGAAACGCAGTTTACTTGAATAAACGATCATTTTCTAAATTAATTCACCTAACCTAACAAAATATACATTCATATACTTGTACAAATTTTTTACCATTACGTGAAATACTTACGAATTTTCGAAGTAATTTAACGCACTTCTAGTAAAGAAACATTGGTCAATGAGAATTATTCATCTTCTAAAGCAAATGGAATTGTATTTTTACGTAAAAAATCTAAAATATTAGATCACAAACAACGCAAGTGTTTAACATGTTTAACATCGATAAACTGTAGTCAAATCAATATCTATTTCGCGCATGCGCGGTGCGCGCAAAGCGCAACTCTATCGATAAGGCGCGAAATAAATTCAAATTCAAATTTCGAAAAATTAAAAACTTAAATTTAGTCTATTTTTATAAATAGAAATTAATAATTAATATTGAACAAAAATAATAAAATATAAAAATTATACTTTTGATAAGAAAAGTTTTGGTTAAAAAAAATTTTTTAAAAATGATTTTTTTGCTAAAAAAAACTTTTTTCCACTTAACAAAAAAAAATTTTCCGCACGTGGAAATAATTCATAAAAAATAAAAAATACAAAAAAAGATACTTATCACGTCATTTGCACTCGACACTTGACTGATAATATGCATTATTGGTATAAATATTAAATATTAAATTAAATCCAAACGTCGCAAGTGATCGAGAATATAGAAACTGATTTTCATATCAGGAAAATATAATAAAAAAGAAAAAAAATGCTCCAATATTCTTAATGAAAACTTCATGCCTTTACTTGGCATTCGACCTCTTTCTTTCTCCTTCCTTTTATTTTTTATCATGTTCGTCTGTCGTTCCAACTTTTTTATCCCCGGGGCCGGTTAAGTTCTTTTTTTTTTTTATTTTTTTTACTCCGCGCTTGGGAAAACTGTCTTAGAAAAAGTTCACGGGGAATGAACGAAATATTATGCGCCTCGACTGATAAATTGAACCGCGTCGCGACTTATTTTTCAATTTTTCGTTTTATCTCAAATTTTCATTACAGGAAAAAATAAAATTCTGTTTTTTAATTTAGAAAAGCCTGTCTGTTATTATCTTTTAAATTAAAAACAAAATTAAACTTTGTAAGTATTAAGATTTTGCAGAAAAGACTTTTTTTTGTACAATTTAATTAATTAATTAATGATTTTAATTATTTTTTAAATAAATTTATAATAATTATATTTAATAATTATTGTTGATATTATTCATTAAATATAACTTTATAAATTTATCCCTTGACACTATTTGAAAAAAATTATTATTATTACAATTACAATTATTTATTTGGATATTATTATTTATTCCAGCAAATTTTATTATGCAAATTAAAACAAATTTTTATTTCCAAATATTAATTTCAGTTTTTGAATAGTTTTAGATTCAAAATTGAAAAAAATTCAATTATTAACTAATTAATTATAATTATTTATTTTCAAAAATTTTAATAAAATTCTTCGCATAAATAATATTGTTCGCAAAAATTCAATTAATTTAAAAAATTGTATGATAGTTGAAATAAATTTTAATTAAAATTTTAATTAAATTCCTTTATAAAATTTAATTATTTTCGGAAATTTTTATTAAATTCTTATCAAGATTTCGATTATTTTCAAAATTAATAAAAATTTTCGCAAGGAATTTAATTATTTTAAAGCATTTTAATAAAATTCTTCTGAGAAATTCAATACTTTAAAAATTTTTGATAAACTTATGAGAATTGAATTATTTTCATAATTAATAAATTTCTTCTCAGCAATTCAATTACTTTTTGAAATTTAAATGAGAATTTATGAGAATTGAAATATTCTCAAGACAATTTTAATTAAATTCCTCTATGAAATTTAATTATTTTCGGAAATTTTTATCAAGATTTCAATTATTTTCGAAAGTAATAAAAATTTTCGCAAGGAAACTAATTATTTTAAAGCATTTTCATAAAATTCTTCTGAGAAATTCAATCACTTTGGAAAATTTTGTTCAATTTATAAAAATTCGATTATTTTCATAATTTATAAAATTTCCACAAGAATTAAATTATTTTAATGATTTTCAATCAAATTCTTCGTAAAAAATTTTATTATTTTGAAAAATTTCAATAAAATTCTTTATAAAAAAATGATTAATTATTAATTCTATAAAAAAAACTTTTGAAAAAATTTAATTCTAATCCTAAATAATAGAATTCTTTGGAGCAATTCAATTATTTTGAAAAATTTTTTGTAACATTTTTTATAAGAATAATTCACTTATTTTTAAAAGAATTTTAATAAAATTTCTACCAAAATTTAAATTATTTTCACAATTAATAACATTTCTCATTGTAATAAAATTTCTGGAAGAAATTCAATAATTTCAAAAAATATTTTGAAAAATTTTGATAAAATTGAATTGAATTATTTTCATACTTAATAAAATTCTTCGCTGAAATTAAATTATTTTAAAGAATTTTAATAAAATTCTTCGCATGAATTTAATTATTTTCAATGGCAATTTTTAGAAAATTTTCAAAAAAAATTAAATTATTTTTTTAAATTTGAACAAATTCTTCGTAAAAATTCAATTAATTGAAAAATTCTGCAGCAAATTCTTTATGAGAATTGAAATATTCTTAAGACAATTTTAATTAAATTCGATAAAAATCAATTATTTGAAAATTTTAATTAAATTCTTCTCAAGATTTCATTTATTTTCAATTACAAAATTTTTTGCAGGAATTTAATTATTATTTAAAAAATTTCAATAAAAATTCTGCCTAGAATTTTGATTACTTTGAAAAATTTTATTATTCAAAAGAAAATCTAATTAATATCCTAAATAATAAAATTCTTCGCAAAAATTCAATTATTTTGGTAAATTTTAAAAAATTCTTTATAGCAATAATTCACTTATTTTTTTTATGAAATTTTAATAAAATTTCTACCAAAATTTCAATTATTTTCATAATTAATAACATTTCTCGAAAGAAATCAATTATTTAAATAAATTGTAACAAAATTTCTCGAATGAATTCAATTATTTCAAAAAATATTTTGAAAAATTATTTATGAGAATTGAATTATTTTCATACTTAATAAAATTCTTCACAGGAATTTAATTATTTTAAAGAAATTTAATAAAATTCTTCGCAAAGATGTTATTATTTTAAAAAATTCCAATAAATGTATTGATAAAAAAAATTGAATTAAATAATTTGAAAAAATTTAATCCTTTTTCTCTAAATAATAGAATTCTTCGAAAAAATTCAATTATTTTTAAAAATTTTGGTAAAATTCTTTATAAGAAATAATTTATTTTTAAATTCTAATAAAATTCATACCAAGATTATTAACAATAAGTAATAATATTATTTTAATTAAATAATAATTATTAAATAATAATTTTCTTTTTATTAGTTAAAATAATTGTCCGAAAATGAATTTATATGAAAAACAATTCAATTTATTTAATAATAAAATTTTATCTATTACTATTAATTATTAAATATTATTGCTTTTATTTTTGTTCATTTACTATTTGAAAAATAAATAAAAACAAAAAAATAATAAAAACAATTTTTTGTATTTTTATTTATTTACTATTTGAACGAAAATAATATTTAATAAATATTTTAAATAATTATTATTACTATCGATAACTATTAATAATAGTATTAATTATTAGTATTATTAATACTATGATGAATAGTAATAATTTATTATTACAATAGTAATAATTTTTTATTACAATTCACTTATTAAATATTAATTTTGACATTATTTATTTTACTGTTTAAAATTATTTGAAGAAAAACTTTTTAGTTTAACAAATTCTCAAGTCTTCAGAAAACGAAAATTCGAATCTTGAAAAAAATTGCCTTAATTAGGAATGAGAAAAATATGGAAAAGAATTCTTGACTGCAATCATAAAATTTGAATGTAGATAACCAATGCGAATTTGAAAGCAGCTTTCACGAGAATAAGTTGGCTGTCTCTTCATCATTTACTGTCAGCCCCACATTTTCAGATAAAGAACGTACACACTGAATATCTTTCGGTCTTTTTTCGGTAGAATGGAAAGCTCTTCTCTTTTCTGTGTGTGTAGAGAGAGAGAGAGAGAGAGAGGAAGACAGAAAAAAATATAAAGTAATGCTAGATACTAAAAAGCGTCAGTTGTGAGGCAAACATCTATCCTTCGAAAACGAAAGAAAAGAGAAGGGAAAGTAAATACGTACGTCGCGTGTGTCTACGTATCTTCTTCTTCATCTCAAAAACTCTTTTGTCCTTTTTCTTTTTTTCTTTTTTTTTTTTTTGTAAGGCAAAAAGCTGTTGTATCATCTCGTACCTTGTTCGCAACATAT